GAATGAATATTAAATGGAGCAGATAAGCCCAATTGGTCATGCCACATTGATTTTGGTAAGTATTTATGACGGTTTCATGAAGTTCCCTGAATTAAACGTTTCAAGAATCCGACCAATTTAAGCTGATTTAATATGAATAACAATTCGATATATTTATATATAGACTCTTGATGGAATTAAAATTATTGCATTATCCACTTTCACATGTCACGTGTATGGCATAACGAGTTATCCAAAAGCACCAGAGCTCTTTGAGTTGCCAAATTGGGTTATCAGATACTCGTTGATGGGCGGAACTCAACCTCAACACATTTAACGGTGCCGCCAGAATTGTCGTCACTCCGTAGACGTTGCAATTAAATCAACTGGAATTTATTCAATTCGATTTCAATTGAAAAGCATACAAATGCGCGGTAAACTATTTGCCAACTGTGTTTTGGTTTTGTTTGTTTTTTATTCTCTTTTAGTTTTCTATGAGCTAGCTATTGACGTCGTGAGGAGCTCAAAATGCATGGGCCTGTTATACTTTTGCATGGACTGGGCTCTGATCTGGCTGCTCGAGGGCAGGCACTGTGTAAATTTCTTTGGACATAGCCTAGATATTTGACACATGAACGGTCCAATGTTCAATCGGCAATTACAATTGATTTGCGGTACAAACTAAAACTATAGCAATATTGATTTATTTGAACTCGTTCAAGCGGCAAACATCAGCAGCTAGACGGAAAAGCGACAGAGAATTCCCACACGTGATACCATCGTCTAAGAATTTAAAAAACTACTTGGCTGATTACACAATGGGCGTGAAATTATGTCACAGATCTCTCGCAGAAACAGTAGTTTTTAATTAATACCAATTCTACATTCTGACGATATTTAATTAAACCCAATTACGTCTTATATGCATAATCAGAACAACAGGCGACCGATCGATAGGCGACGATAATGAAATTGAAAACAAAAAGCATCAGAAATACTGACGGATTATCAGAAAATCAGTCCCTAAAATAAACATATACAGCACCAGTTTATGGCTTGTTTATGGGGTTTATTATGCTAGAATATTGGCCCAGTTTGATACCAAATGGCCCTTGAGCACAATAACGCGCACGAATTGTTTGTTTTAGTAATCAAACATAGCATAAAACGTGTATTTGCGATACACTGTCGCCATAAATGGAGTATATTGGATATCTGTTACATTTTATAACTCTGAGAACGTTTGTTAAATAGATCAAAGTGGTTTATTAAAACGTTAAGCTGTTAATCGAATCAAATACTAAGCAAATACAAAACTCAACAATCATGATTGATTATGTTGGCATCTCTAAATTGGTTATAATTCAAGCTACAAACCAACGAACCACAGAATAAAATATTTGATATTCTGACCAATTATTTGGCTAAAATGCAGTCAGATTAACATGTCATGTATTAATTAAATTATATAATTTGGCGCATTATTACGACTCATTTCTGCTTTTTGACATTCAATCCTCTTGGACTCTGCAAAATGTTTCGTTCGTGCATATTTTTTTTCAATTCAACGCCCACATTTTATTTGAAGAGGGTTCGACTCGCTAAAATTAAACAAAATTACATTATAAACCAAATATTCATATTGGTTTTTAGTTTCCCAAGCGCACAGAGGGCCATTTGGAACATTGCGGCTAGTTTGGCATTGGCTTATAATTCATATTTGCAATCTATGTGCATTAAAAAGTTTTTAATTACACACTAGCTTACTTATTGCAAAACCGTAAGCCACAAAAATGAACAAAGCCAAATGTTGCACAAAAGAATAGTGTGGATCGAATTTTGCTGTCATGACTGCGGTGGGCGGATGTGTGTGGTTATTGTTTGGTGATGGATTTTTAGTTTTTCATATACACGTTTAAGTGTTCTTTAGTTTTCATAATAAATTTCATAATTGCAAAATTACGGATAACTAGTTGAATAATTCAGAATGATTTTGTTTCTAGGTCAGTACCTACTTCATTATTAATTCAGAGAGACTCGCACATATTTCAATTCGAGACATCAATTTAATAGAATTCAGTCTCGACTTTGAGGACTTCCTGGATATATTATAAGCACCTAAGAAAGAATCTTACGACAGATGAGAATTTATTAAAACCTTTGAGCAGTCACAAAACAAAGCATGTTCCATTATGGACTATATAATCTGGCAAAGACTTACATAACTTTCATATGTTTATAGCTATTATAGAATTGGACAACGAAAACTTCGTTCGATGTAAAATGTCAATAGATTCAAATTTAAGTTCCTAAAATGTTGATTAAGATCTGATTAGATTAGTGCAACTGTGTGCCCCGCAGATAGCAAATTTTAATGGTATAGATTATTATTCAACCTTTGGTTATTGCAGGAATTCGATTTTGGATACATTTCCTATTTAAAATGAAACAAAACTTTGCCCCCAGTTTGATAAGCGCTGTTATCGGCATGCCCTTAATATAAATATATGTATATATTTAATTGTCACCGCAAGATAAGGTCATCAAATTTTGGTAATTGTTAAATTTATTTATTCAGTCTTGAGGCATGACTTTAACGCAAGCGGTAAAAGAACAACTACAAAAACTTCTGAAGTCACGAAACATTCGAGTACTTGGGGTTAGCGAATAATTAAGACATCACCTTGAATACAGAAACCGCTCAGAAATAAACGCATATGAGCAAAAATGGAAATGAAAATAAAATGCAAATATTAGAAATAAAATCGAGACGAAACCTGTTTGCGGACTTTCGAATTTCTTGGCATACGTACATATGTACCGACAGTAAAGAAGTATTAACATATACTTTAAAATGTTGTTACTCCGCGGAAAAAGTCGCAAATGCGGTCCATTATCTCTTACCGGTTGAGCTTCAAGCCGTGCGTGAATGATAAAAACTTGTTTTCTGCCCACGTGCGTAGGCTTTCATAAATAACTTTAAAATTCACAAATTGTGATTTGAAAAGCTTGCACAAATGCATTTTACGATGTGCCCGCAATTGTGCTGTCAAATTACCCAATAAGTTCAGCAATAAACGAATAAAAACTGATTGATCTCAGCTTGACAGCTGCATAATAGATAATATTTATGGCTTGAGGGTCTTGATACGTAAGGTATAGAGAACCAAGCAGTTCCACAAATGAGCTGTATTACCAATTAGACAGAACTATTAAGTCATTTAGAGCGCGGGGCTGGGCATTTATAAAAAAACAGCACAGTGGAATAACTATTTGTTATGCATTTCCATTGATTTACAATAGATAAACTTAGCATACAAAGAAATCTTTAATAGCTTTACAGCTGCTCGCATTTAATTATAAACGTGTGAATTAACTGAATACACCGCAATCCCATCCTAAAGTTTTACAAGCAGCTCATCTGCAACCGCGTGATGCTGCGGTTTGTGTTTCGCATTGAGTACCTTTCGAAAGATACTTTTTCTAAATGTAATTCGTAACTTGGCTGACGGCTTAGCGAATGAATGATTGAAGCTCGCGATTCGCATGTGTGATTGCCCGTTCCCAATTGTAACGAACAACCTCTGTCAGCCCGTCATACACGTCCGTCAACCTTGAGATTTATGAAATTAAAAGAAAAGGGGCAATTAAAATTGTATTAGTTAGCACGGCGCTTTTAAGCACTTTGGCGGCAAAACTTAACGGACCGGCGACGTAGATTAAGAAAAGAACAGATTATACTATATGTATGTATGGGACATTGGGCCAAGCCCTTCAAATAAATTAAAATGATAACAATATCTAGAGCAGGTGATAATTAAAACTGACAGTCGGCTAACTGAATCTAACGTTCAGTTAATGCAGTTCTTGCCTGGATAAACGGAAATGCCGCATCTGCCGGCCGCGTGATAAGCGCAAGCATGTCTGATAAGCGCCGTTGATAAGAACAGGCACGCTTGGTAACGGTCAATAAGTCTTTGACCTACTGCTGTGCACACATTAATACTCACCCAACTTGCCCATTAGGTCCTCCAATACATAATCCACAGCCATATTATCTTAAATGCTGTGCGCGGCACTTAAAAAACAAGTTGGTTCCAGGTGGAAATACCTTTATTTTATTAATTAACTTGTTCAAGTGCTAACAATTTGCATTTTCCGTATACTTCTGATTGGTGTTATACAATTGATGTAACAAAAGTTGCGTCTCAGATTATCAGTGGCACTGGGACAACCGAATTGAGGATCGGATTGGAACTCCAAGCAGTTCAATTTGCGCTGGAGATTGGCAAGCGCCGCCGAACGGGCAAAAAGCTGAATGCGAACTGAATGGGCTTTGAGTACGCCAAATGTTTCGAGTCGTGACTGAATAACACTCACATACTGAAACATGAAAACAAACAGATACTCACACAAACAGCGATAACGAACCGCTCCCGCTCACATGTGGCAGAGCTTCGCAATTGAGAGTGGATCGGATCGCGGTGTGTGAGTATTTGCTGAATTTGTTGTTGCTATTTTGCTATTGTTGTTGTTTATGTTGTTGTTGGGCTTCAGTTTGCTGACATAGTTCTTGATCGATAAGCTTGGGAATCAATAGAGAGTATACCTATAAATCAGCATCACATGTGTGTTTCTATACAGCTTATGGCTCGTCAGATTAGGTTGTGTACAGTGCGGGAAATACAGGTAAGATCAATATGCAAACCATCTTATACCAAAATATTATAGTACAATTTTGACTACCATAAATGACACATGTAATAGACTTTTGGATTAACTTATCATACGGTTATTATACCTTCCCTTTTAGTAATTGTAAAGTTATCTTCAAGAAATAGATAAAATAAATATCAAGAAAAACTGCTTAATTTATGAATAAGTGTAATCATCCGTTTGTTATAATTAGTGAAAAACACACGTTTGTCTACATGTAAATTTGTCGTTAATCTATATACTTTGAACATTGAACATTATTAGCTCAGTAACCTGTTTGTAATATGTTTTTGATGATCTAAATCAAAAAAGCAATCCTTTTACTGTTTGACTTACATACATATGTGTTATACAAGGATTTGTACTAAATTATACCGTCTTTTAAATTCAACTTTCATCTTTTTAATTTGCAATGCATGAACCATCGATATCGGACCCAATGTCCTTTTTATACTTGGACTTGTTATCAAATCTTTTACTAGAAGACGCAAACGAAATCGGAAAAGAGTTCGATGTAAAAATGAACTTTATACGCGAACAGGAACGGAGCTGTTTGGAGAATGCAAAACAAGTGAGAGACCAAGCTTTAGTCCTTTACGAAGATATAACAAGCCTTATAACTGTCTGCAGCTTATTTCCGTTGATCAGTTTATAGAATCGATGAGGGAATGTCTCTTTCAAACGGAGCTAGAATTACAGGAGAACGAAGCTGATTTGCTCAATGTGGAAAAAACCATTCTGCGTTACGAGGCATCCTACATAGATTTTTCCAAGGGCCCAGATCCAATTCGTCTAAGGCCTAGCAGCTACCTGGTTTTCTTAAAGCTACTTTTATCGGCGGATTGCTCGGCAGCACAATGCAAAAATCTAAGGGAAGAGCTCGACCAATATAATAATGAGGCCCTGGAGCGTTTAGACTCTCCTAAATTGGTAAGAATTCGTAAGACCGAGCCTTCCTACTAAATCACGTTTAATGTATTCCCATAGATCACCAAGATCATGGACTGTCATTTAAAGACGCTCAACTCACTGGAGAAAAAGTTGGATCAGCTGCAATCTTTGGCTGACAATGTGGCCAAAAGCTATGATCAAATGATCAACAAACTTAAGATTAGCAGCCTGAGCACCAAGTGCAGCTGCCAAATGGCAAATATTATCAATCATACACGCATGAACTGATTACAGCATAGTTTTAATGTATTTGAAAAAATAACGTTTAACATAATGAATATGATACATATGTATGTAGGTATTTAAATGCAACGCATGTTCAACTGTGTTCTCAATATTCTTAAGATTAGGATAATGTTTGGCTTGTTGTTAGTTGGAGTCGCGGAAGAAGAGCACATCATCTGCTATAATGCTGGTGCTTGTCTTTTGATTGCCCTGCTGGTCGGTGATCTCACCATAGGTAATCTTTCCCTGAACCATGGTGCGTTGGCCCTTCTTCAGGTACTCCAGCACCGTGTCGCGTAGATTCGGCTTGAAGACAACCACTCGGTGCCAGTCGGTGCGTTGCGCCCAGTCACCGTTCTCATATCTGAGCGATAAATTGATATCAAATGGATCTTTTGCAATCTTTTGGTAATTTCAACTCACTTGTAATTGGTGTGTGTGGCCACGGAGAATGTTACCACTGGATGCTCCTGTGAGCCGCGCAGCTGCGGATCGGCTCCCACTCGTCCCAGTATAGTAACGGTATTGACAGCTGCGTTTTAAATGTATAATTGAAACATGTTAGTTTGGGTATGTATATTAGCATATAAATATGTATATGTATACAGGTAACTGCTCACTTTTTTCAATTTTGGCGGGTGCCGCGGCCGTCGTGCTTGCTGCACCTCGTGCCGGCAAATTGCAAAGTCCATTTAAGACTGGCTTAAGCTACAAATGCAACAATTGTTACTATTATACATATTTTGCTTGTCGTTGTAAAAACGTAAAACTTACAATCCGTTTACTTTGTTGCATCATGTTCTCGGCGTGCTTTGTAAAGCGGCAACGCGATTTTAATTTGTTTAAACAGCTGTTTACAACTAACGCAGCCAACTTAACCTAATTTGCGTATGCCTGTGGCGCACTCTGTTGTGAATTTTGAAAGCATATCGACTAATCGATAAATTATTGACTCGCTGTACACATATCCGTTACGTGTGCACTTATTTTCAAAATTAAATTTTTTAAGAACAAACGACAATTGCTAAGCATAAGTCCAAGAAATAATGTCGACTTTTTCTGACTTCGTTTATCAACAGATGCCTGTTGTAGTATATAAATCAGTTATGTAGCTACTAAAGCGTTGGTATACCAGCAAGTGCATAGGCGCCGTTGTCGCCTTCATCAACACTAATGTATTACAGAAGTTCCATTAATTTTTCAAATACATTCCTTCTGATTATGGCCAACAGTGTAAGCCTAGGAATCTAAACAATTGTCTGATTAGCCAGCTTAGAATGGGAGTGGGGAATAACCCAGTGCTAATAGGAACTCTTACACAAGACCGCATGCTCTATCGGATACTTCTGGAACTACAAAATGTTGGCAGAAAAAGCTAACTGCTATAGCACTTTTTCTGCGGAACTCTTAAATATGAAAATAGTTTTGTTTGAATAGGGCGCGCTCTATTGGTTGTTTTATAAAACTGATTATTTTGAGTAGGTAAAGCAGGCTGCCACTGAATTCGAACCAAGTGCAATTATCGGGCGCCAGTGGCGCTTTGTATATTTTGTTTTGTAGCAACTTGATTAAATTTGTATTTCACTGTCTCCAAATAAAATCCATACAGATCTACTTGAAAGGCCTTGACATAATATGTGCTATATAAATTGTCAATGTTAAATTCCGTTCAATTCTCTTTTCTGCTTAAAGAAATGCCTTTTGTACATGTTAGAGATAGTTCTTAATTTTGCATAGATAGAATATCCTCTATTCAATAATTAGCCAATGTGAAGCGATTATAAGTACAAAAGAACAGTGGTAAAAATATTAAAATTAACCTTAATACAAGACAAGTTAACCTAAATATGCAAAGTTAAAGTAAAAAAAATTGAGAAATACAAATCAAGTACTCAAGGCTTGCCTCAACTTTCAATTAAGTATGGCATACAGTTAAACGAACGCAAGTCGGAACAGGATGTACGATCGCCGATTGTCTTCGCATATGGCCGAAGCTTCAATTACGAGCCACCATTAGGGGCAGCTCCATTTTGTTTTTGGCACAGTTGATAAGCTGTCAAGGCCCACAAGATGTCGGCATTGATTTCCACTCGGCAGAGAGAGGCGGTGCGTCCAGCTGCGTTGAACCTGAAACAAAACGGAAGAATAAAATCGCTAGTTTAATATATTTTCGTTTCTCTTGTTTTACTGCAACAGCAGCCTCAGCCAGCTCAGAGGCGCAAGAGCAATAACAACGACCAAAACAACCAAACCAACAACAACAACAACAACAACAGACACAACAGCAACCTCTCTACAACTCTACGACTTTGCATTCAAATTCAGGCGATGACGACAGCCAACCGACAACGGCAGGCGGGCAGGCGAAGTAGTTGTTGTCGTTGTCGTTGTCGGAGTCGGTGCCGTGCTGGTGCTCAAAGAATACGGCCAGCCCTAGCCCCAGCCCAGGCAGAGTCTTGAAGTTATTCCAATAGTGAGTCACAACAGCCATTTCGTAGGGTGCTACGGCAGTTAAAGATAGTATGGCCGTCGGCCGACTACAACGGATGTAAAACTTGAAAGGGTTTCAGTTTTACAATCTTTTTAAATTTTATTTCAAAACGTGTCTAAGTTACCTTTTAAATACAAATACATACAAAGATACGTATTGGAAATCCCAGATTAAGAGCCTTAAATCTGTCTACTGCTATTTGATATACATCTATATATAGATCAAAAAGATCTTATAAAATTCTCTCATCTTAACCCTTAGACTAAAATATCTTGTTGTCTATTTGCAATTAAGTTGAGGAAAGCGTTTGATTTCTTTAAAATTTCTTAGATATTCAGTCCAATGAATTATTGTGTCGGGTGCCCAGGACGCGGACTCAGTTTTTATGATCAACTGAATGATATTGACTATTATGTTATTAATATTTAGTTTATAGAACCGTGCTATTTCCATTATATAATATGTTTTTCCCATTTCTTCCTATATTATGTAGCGCATAGCATTCCTCAGTGTAGCCCCAATCTATGGCATTATTCATGCTGTCGTTTTTTAGTGCTGTCGTCGTCGGGCGGTCGGTCGGTCTCTCGGTCGCTCTGTCGCTTCGCCTCCCCTCGCTTCGCCTCGGCAGCCTTACCATGCCCTGCCTGGCCACTGCCGTCGTTTGCTGGCGTTGTTTCCAGAGCGCGCGTGTAGCTGGGCATTTGTATGTGTGTTCGTATACGTGTGTGTATACTGGTATCTGTGTGGGTTGCGTATCTGTATCTGCTGTGCATGAGGCTATGGCTATGGCTCTGGCTATGGCTCCGGCTGTTCGTTGTTGCGATACTAACGAACGAACGTCCCAAATGTCGACGTTGCTTTTGCTGTTGTTGTTGCTTTTTGTATATTTTCAGTCTGTAGAGCAAACGGCGAGGCACGGCGCTCGAAGAGGGAGCTGGCTGGTTGCTGGTTGCCGGTTGCTGCTGTTGTTGCTGTTGCTGTTGCTGAAGTGGTTGCTGCTGGCTGGGCTTCTCGAGGACGTCCGTTCGTTCGTTTCGTAGCGTTTCGTTGCGTTTCGTTTCGTTTCGTCTGTTGGTTCGTTTGTGCGTTTGCGTGCCAAACCAACAGCAAAAACAACAACAACGAAAACTCATATTCATTTTATAGTGAAACTCAGCTCAACGCAGCTTAAGCTTAATGTACAGCAGTAGCAGCAGCAGCAGCAACATTCCACCAACTGGCAACTGGCAGCTTGAATGTTGTTGCTGTTACGGTTTGGTTCGTTGGTTGGTTGGCTGCTTCGATTGCTTCGCCTTCGCCTGCGCGAAGGTTTTTGAAAAACGCGCGCAGCTGTTACAGCAATTGGGTAACATTAGCCAGAGGAGCCCATTTAAACTACAGCCATAGCTTTGTCAGACCAACAACAACAACAGAACAGATTAATACAAAAGCTGCATTAAAAGAACCCTTTCCCATGTCAATGTTTCGCAACCAATAGAACTCTCAGGTATAGTCCAACTGAAAATTGCATTAAAAATCAAAGAAACTTGTGCCTGCATCTGCATCTGAAGCTGACTGCGCACATTTTGCAAAATTTAACAGAGCAACAGAAACAGAAACTGAATCGCAACCGAACGAATATTCGCATTAAAGTTTATTTCGAAACCAACTCACTGCCAGCAGCAGCAGCAACAACAGCTACAACAGCAGCAACAGTGGCAGCGGCAACGGCAGAAAAAAAATACCCAACAGCAAAGCAAATGAAAAACGCCAACGAACAACGAACGAGCCAACAGCCAACGAGCGCACAGAAAGCAGCACACAACAACAACGGCAGCAGCAGCAGCACCATCACCAACAACAACAAAAAAGAAAAATGAAAAAAAAAATCAAGTAAAATTACGACAAGCAAAGAGGCGGCGGCGGCGACGACGGCAGAGGCAGCGGCAGTAGCAGCAACGTCGAAAGAAAACAAGAAACTTCATGGCAGCAACAAAGCGTGAGGGGAGCAGAGCGTCAGAATGGCAGCGCGAGTGGGGAGCGGGACCAGTGGGAGAGAGGAAAGCAGCCACACAAAGTGTGTGACTGTTTGAGTGTGTGTCGGTGTCTGTGTATGTGTATGTGTGTGTGCGTGTGTGTGCGGTGGGGCGAAGGTGAAGCATGCGATGGCGTTGGCTGCTATAACGTCAGGCAAGTCGACGACGAAAACGACGACAACGATGAAAAAACAACCAGCAACGAACGAACGAACACCAGCGCCAGCAAAAATGTATAATAAAAGTAAAACAACAACAACAACAACGAGAATAACAACGACAGCATAAGCAGCAAACGTTGAAGGCAACAACGACGGCGATGCTTGCAACTGCGACCAGTGCCAGTGCCACGCCAAGCAGCCAGTCAACTATCCAACAACCAACACAGGGCACAAGCTGCTTCCAGGAAAGCTTATACCATATACCCTTTATCCTGGTAAAATAAATTAATGGGAAACCTCAGATAGATAAATATATATATATATATGTATATATATATTCATTTTATATATACATATATATTTATATATATAATATATATATATATTATATGATAAATACTTTTATTATATACAGACATTTATG